CTCCACCATGTTTAAAGATTATGACCCGCCCAACTCGGAAACTCTGGTATCAAAATTATTTCAGAATTTCCCAATAGTAAATACGACTTGACTGGCGTTCACGTCTAATTTCGGATTAGGAAACTTGTATTTACGATAATTCCGATAGCACGTGAAGGCAGCATTAGTATTGGGAAACAGTGTATGTTTGTGTGTGTGTGTGTGTGTGTGTGTGTTCGTGATGGTGATTTTTGTGACATTGTTCCTCCATTAGATGGCGACAAGAGACTGTTTTACGAGTCAGCAGTAAAGACTTTTATATTGAAAGAGACTGAAACGGAAGTTATTTTTACTTTTAATTACAGCTTGTAAGATGCAGTTAACAAATGCACTGATCAGCGCTGTCATAGGAAATCACCATTAAAAATGAAAGGATAATAGAACAAAGATATCGCTTTCCTCAGCGGACAGTCAGACTAATGTTTTATTGTGAATATGAGATTGAGCTGAAGAATGAATGCTGTATCAGATGCAGGTAAACTAACTCGCTAAGTCAATCTCTCTCTCATTATACTCTACATATAATACAGAGAGCTTTTAATACAGTGATACAATAAGCTTTTAATGAAGCAGCTCAACGTTCCTTCGTTACTAAAGTTCTAAAGTGACGTTTTTGAATTAGTAACGGATCTTGAACTCAGTTGTTAAACTGACAAACTGAGATTTGAATCTGTGGCTTAAGGAAGTAGTTCTGCACAAAAGGGTTTTTAACGACACTCCGTTGTTGTTTTTCTTATACATTTACACACTCGTGCCGTCGAACTGTTGTATAAATGCAATATCACACCCATAGACGTGAGATATGGCTGTATATCGGCACACTGTGATTACCTATGGCCGAATCACAGCCGTGCCGATATACAGCCATATCTCACGTCTACGAGTGTGATATTGCTCATATATATATATATATATATATATATATATACACACACACACACACACACACACACACACACACTGCAAGTAGCTATCTCTAGGGGAGTGATAAATGCTGAAACAATACTCGGCAGAGGGAAGGGATCAGAGTGAGTGTTAAATAGTGAGGGAGTGATATGAAACAGCTGGGTGCAATCAGTGTAAACAGGTGTGTGCAATTCGTGCTGAGTGCAATCAGTGCAATGCATGATGGGAAATGTAGTCCGGGGTGCTATGCAACAGTTTGTGTGGTGCGAGAGTCAATGAAAAGGAAAGTTCATGGACCGGATTCGTGACACATACATACAATTTGCTATTTTATTCATAGTCATTATATTACTACTATTTTATACTCGTACTAACTTTTATTTTTAGGCTATTCATAATAATAATAATAATAATAATAATATTCTATAGAATAAAACTGCCATATAACATCTAACCTTTAACCTTTAAATTCATCAATTTAAACTGTACTGTAGTTGTTATAAATGTTTTACCGCTGAAAAATAAACCATATCTATGCTTGACAAGCATGATTCTTCACAATTCCTTATGACAATGAATACTTTACAAGTTCTAACTAGCGAGATTCTGAGTAACTAGAAACTGAAACTTTTTCATACTCCACGCAGATCATAAACCGTTGAAATCGGTTAAATGTAAACATTACTCCACTTTCTGTCCAGAAAAGCCACAGCTCCCCATTTACTTGCATTTGTTTACAGAGCACTCTTGCCCGGACCAATATGGCGGACTCGATGACGTATCGCAGCAACGGTCCAAAGCGGCCAATGAGGCGTCTATGTATTTTATATGTCTATGGTACAGCCTAATTCTGAGAAAAACATGATGTCACTTTGTAGGCGGATCGGCTGTTAGCATCGCACTGGTTCCCTCGACAAAAAGCCAATAGGATTTTCCCATAGGCTTTTGGATTATGCAAAAAATAAGCTCTGTGTTCAACCATAGCTCAAGAAACTTACACGTTTTGTCCATCGAGATAATCTTTACAAAATAATATAACTTTTATGAATTTTGAAGCCTAAATACAAGTGCCAGAACTAAAAAGCTATTAGGCTATAAAACAAACTACTGTTGAAAAAAACAGCATATGCTGGATAGGTATGTTTTGAAGCATGACTGCTGGTTTGAACTGGTTTAAGATGGTCTTGTGCTGGTTTAAGCTGGTCATAAGCAGCTCCTGCTCAGGACTTACTTTGGACCAGCTTAAACCAGCTCATGACCAGCTAAGGACCAGCTCAACCCAGCAGTCATGCTTCAAAACATACCTAACCAGCATTTGCTGGTTTTTTCAACAGGGAGCACATGGTCACTCGCCTACAGCGTCACCACCACCACGCTTCCGACAACTTTCAAACATATTTTTAGAAATATATCCAATGATAATTATTTACTCTGTGGATGTGGAGTTGTCAGGGCTAGCATGAGGGACAAAGTCTATCAAGTGTCGGTAAGTGCTGTCAGGGAGGGAGAAATAAATTATAATAATTAGTTATACATGTTGAATGTGTTCAACTGAATTTATATATAAAAAACTGTTAAACAAGATGAACAATCGCTTAAAATTATAGATTTATTTAATAATATATATTTTTTAAATGATCCAGTTAAGGCCAACAGCATCAGCAAAGTTATTTTCCCAACAGTAACTAGACCTATATTTTTTCAAGTTTGTTTTCATTATATATTTTCTCCTGTTTTTTTTATTTAATTTTATTTTGTTTTCTATTTTTTATCTGGGAGCTGACCAGAGATAAATAAATGCACTATAGCAAGCAGTATCTTCAATTTTTTTTTAAAATACATAAGTAAAAAACTGACACGTTCTCGTAAAATAGTTTTATTAAAATAAATTATATTCTGTCAACAATTAACATTAATCTTGCCATGACACAGGTCTCCGAGTATGAGTTCCTGTTTGGCGTGATGACGTTTAATGTCTCCGACAGCGCCTGTAGTCCCATTTAGCAACTTGTTAGCAACCGTCTTTTTTAAGAAATGTAACAGCTTTAAAAAATCACGAGTGGGGTGTAACTGGTGTGTTTTACGTCATAGAATAAAATGTGAAAATATCTTCATCTTGTGTGAACCATGGACCATATTTAAGGGATTTAACCAAAATCCCATTAAAAAAAACCCAATGACTCTGGGACGATGGAACCGGAAGTGTTAAAATGCTAACTCGCTTCTGAGTTTTCACCTACAAAGTGACTTCATAGTTCCACCACTCTATTGAGGGTATGTGCGTGACGTCACCGTCAGCTGGATTGACTGCTGTTCCACCCACTGAGTGGCAAAAAGACTTGAGTGGATGCATTGGTTTTTAGCATGAACGCTGTGAAAGAACACACAAAACACATCTAAAATTAGAGCTTTGTGATTGACTGTACAAAACAAGAAAAGTGATAGATTTTTGAAATATTATGATGTTTTGGTAATACCACAGATGCATAAGGTTTTACTCTGTATGTGTTTATATTATTATTATTATTATTATGATCTTATTTTATTTATTTTTTGTTTAATATTATTATTTTAGTTATTTGTCTTTATGTATTTCAATTTGTAGGTGAAATTTTACAAGGTGTGATATTTTTTCCTTTGTTTATCCTTTAGAAGTTCTATCTGTTCTGTCTTTTATGTATTTGTTTAATGTTTGATGCATAATAAAAAAGTAGATAAGTAGAACCAATAGTAAAACATGGGAATAAATTAATAAAACCTGCTCAGAGTGTTCACGTAGGCCTATTAATAAGTCACGGAAACATAAAAACATCAAAAAAAAAAAAAATTTTATTTGTATTGATTGCATGATAGCAGAAGTATATGAAAAGACATGAGCTATACATTGATTTACTTTGTTTAAAATCTACAGTACTGTACATTCTCTTTACACAGAAAATTTCATTTTTGGATATTTGGGGGGCACAAAGGTCCCCAAATTATGCAACAAAACTCATCTTTTTAAAAAAAATTATTGAACTTCAATTCTGTACACAGAAATCTGATCAAACATTAATGCCTAAACTAACATTTTGACTTTAGTTGTGAGTAAAGTCACTAAAATAAGCAAAATACGTAATGTTTTGGGTTAATCTATAGATGTAAGTGAAGTAAGGACCATGAGGTATTTTATATATTTATATATTTATATATCGTTTTATATACTACTTGTTTATACTTTTGCCTCTACACCGTGAACCTGCTGACTGTGCGCACTCCTCCCTAAACGGATGTGGTTTTTAACACTTGCTTGACACTTTTTACGTTATATAGTGTTAAATGCTATTTAAATTAATTCTAATTTTAAAATTTACATTTTAGATAAACTTTTTAATTTGATTAAACTATATACAACAAAATAAACTTTACATGAAATAAATATAAAAAGTTTTTATATTTTGGGGGGGGGGGGTTGTATTTCCTACAGGGCAGGGGAAAGGAAGAGGTGGTATGCAAAATGGAAACGGAAGTTTCTAAGCAGTTGTACACATCTAAATTATTCAGAAAAGGTCCAGATAAATTTAAGCCTATATGGCCAATTTCACATGTATTTTGTGTATTTTTCAAAATACAAGTACTGTATTTGTATTTAAATAAATTTTTCCACACAGTATTTCTGCCAATCTCTGATAATAGCTAATATGAAACAGACGTCTTGCACATTCACGGATAGCTTACTTTCGGGTTGCAAAATAAGGTGGATACAACACTGCATTGTGACTCCAATGTGATTGCCAATTAATAAAAAATACTACTGTAAAATCAAATAAATATTTAAAAAAAATGTTTGTATAAGATTAATGTATAAATATGTTATAAAAATGTATAATTCATGACAAGGCTTATAACATTAGTTAAAATCTCATGTGTAAATCATTTATATACGTTCAGTTAAAAATAAAATATTGAAAAGCCAAGAACTACATGGACTACAGTTATACAGGCATACTTGTATCTTTTGGTTTCTTCAACTTTAAATTTCATTATAAGATCAACTTTTGTATTCTTTACCTCAGAGCATTCTGACTGTAGAACAGCCCATACCATCCAGTCCATTACTGGAAGCATGCTGGACTCTCCCTGCTTCCACTCTTTGTGAAGATCCCTCAGTGTTTCTTCCCATCCCCCCTTTGGACATACTGAGTTCTTGTCAACAGACAAAAATAAATGAATGAGATATATGATTAAATTGTGTGCGTGACAGGAACATGTTTTATCCCTCTGATCTCTGTAAACATACAGGAGCAAATACCTGTTTCAAATCTTTCAGTTTCCAAAACCAGTCAGACAAGATTTTTTTTGCTTTGTTAAACTGCTCAGAGGAGGTCTGTTGTTTTTACAGGAAACAAAACAGAAGAAACGAAAGAGAAAGTAAATAAATATTATTGACAACTGTGGTAAAATAACATGTTGATGTTAATTAGAGTTATTATATTATTTTCCCTGTTCCACTGAGTTTTAACCATGCTTGTTGCTACTTTGCTCCAGGATGGTTGAAACAAAAACTCACAATAAATGAAGACATTTTTAGTACTTATCACTTCTCGCTTTATGGCATGGCGGTTAGGACATGCTATCACAGGAAATAATCTTTAAACAGGAAATTTCTTAAAACCTTCATCATAAAAATGTGAATCCAAACCTCTTTCTTGTCCATTTGTTTTGTCTTTATGTTCTCAAGATCTTTTGCCCACTGCAAAATATAATACTGTTGTTCTTCATGTTCTTTGTTACTTCCTTTATTTTTAATCTTTCGAGTCATCAAGGATAACTTCTTGGACTGTGGGCATAATGTAGATCATTTGAACTTCTGATAAATTCATATTAAATTCATTTTGTAATGCCAAATGTTTACCTGTACCACTCTGTCCAGTTCAGCAGCCAGTTCTCTGATAATGTACACTGACTCCTCAAGAGATAGGTCATCTTCTTGCTCAATACAAGTGGTGGCTGGTATTTTGAACCACTGCAAAACGTTTTTTTTTTTTTTAGTTGATAGTTTTGGCTTAGATATAATTAATAACACTTTATATTACATGCATGTGTTTACCTGGTAAAAGACCTTCCCAAGTTGGTGGATTATTTGTCTTTTTTGATGCTTGTTTGTGAAGTATAACGTAAAGTAATTCTAACTTTATCGTATTCATATTTCCATATTCATATTTATAAACAACCGTTTAGTGCTGCAAATTCATTCAAAATCCTAGAAACCCCTGTTTTAATCCATTACTTTAAAAAAATAATGTATGTAGCATCATTTATTAAATCAACAAGCCTTCGTGTTCATGTAACATAGAAGCATTTATCACATTTTACTTATTAGACGTTGCTATAAGGAACTGTTCCTGGATCAGCGGTTTAGGGTAGCTTTATTTCATAAGCAGAATTCAACAGCAGCGGGCAGCAGTTTTGGTAAAAGGACTAGTCGGTCCTAACGGCCAACTCTCACATTCACAATTCTGAGCACATCAGGGCCCAGAATTCCTAGCGATGCCCCTGCCTATCCTATATTTATGTTTGCTCTTTATGTTATGCGAGCATCAAAAGTTTTTTATTTACAACGTGCTGCAGCGTTGAGCAATGTAGCCATATCTGTTGATTTCTTGAACACATATTAGGCATAGTCAGAACTCACCCACCTTGCCTCACTGATAGCTCACAGGTGGATTTTATTGCACTGAAAATCTTCGAAATATACTTGTATGTTTGAATAATGGGAAACCAACAAGAATGGATATAATTAAAGGTGCACAACAAATTACTGAGTAATAAAAACCTAGTGTTGGGCAGCGAGTGATCAAATCTGGTGTTGATTTACAAATATTAAAAGCTTTATCACTTGTTTAGTGATAATGCACAGTGTTTCCTTTGGGTGTTCACATATAATCAACATCTGCGCATGTGCAGAGCATTTTCAATCTCCCGCCCATCCTACGCTACGCTCTCCTGTCTCATTGTCTTTATGGATTTGCCTGCACAACGGTTCCAAGGTATAGTATTATTCATTTATCAACTTGTGATTAATTTATGAACGTGTATCATCACCTAAAGCAAATTGTATTTGTTTTATATTATACTGTTTGTGTGAAAAATAACTTATTTGCCTCATTTTACCCAAACATTGACACGGTCAAAGTAAGTTATGATTATTTCTAATTTTGTGTTGTTTTAACACTAGCAAAGATGGACCTGTATGTTCACCGGAAAAGTTATAATTTTAACACCCATGGTGACAAATCTCCCAACATATTTTTGCTGTGTGGCATGTCATGTTTAGATCTCACAATAACATCAGCTACCTTAGCCGGTAAGTGTACTTGGAGTGTACAAGATAATTTGGGCAGTGATCATTGGCCTGTAGTTTGTGAGATTCAGAGTGCAGTCCAAAGGCAAAACTTTAATCAGTGTGCAAGATGGGGATTTAAGCAGGCAAAATGGAAGGAAAATATGAAGTTGGAAGGGAATATTGGAAGGGATACAGAAAGGAAGAAGTAATGCTTTTTAGATTAAGGATGGGTCACACAGGACTAAATTCAACACTTGCATTAATGGGGATGCATGAAAATGGTATGTGTGATGAATGTGATGTTTTTGAAACAGTAGAGCATGAGCTCTTTAAATGTGGTAAATATGAAGATCAGCGTAACAGTCTTTTTAGCAATATAAGGAACAGACCAGTGAGTGTCGTGGACCTTCTGGGAAAGGGTTTGAGTGATAGTCAGATGTTTAAGGTGGTTTTAACATTTTTAGAGTTTACAGGATTAGACCACAGGATTTAGTGTTTGAGGATGAGGATCATCTCGGAGGTTGAGGAGCACAGTGTGGAAGCTGGAGGAGCTGAACACGCAGCGC